AAAAAGGAGAAAAAGATGAACAAAATAAAAATATAACAACAATGCAGTTCCTACAAAAGAAGATAAACAAAACAATGCAAAATCAGTGCTAGCTGAGAGAGCTCATCGAGAGTACGAATTAAGTAATTTGAGCTAACAGGGATGCAAGATATCTAAGTATGACAGGTGATTGAAAAAACGTGAATACAACCCCTCTACTGACCCCATTCATCCTCCAAGAACTTTAGATAGTCAATGCGGACTTTGAGAGCATCATAAAGGTAATTATAAAAGGATACACTAAAGGAGGAGCTGGACTCAGCAGTGAGGAAGAAGTCTGTAGTAAGGTTGTATATGCCAATGAGATCGTACAGTCTAGTTAGGTGCTTAATGCGTACATCATAAAAAAGAGGACACTCGAAAATGAAATGTTGGAGGCTGTCCAGAGAGGACAGCGAGCAACATGGACAGTTCTTCCTTAAATTGAATTTTACAAGGTCAGGACCTCGACTAAGCGCACAGCTATGAATATTGGAGAGCCTGACTTGTGCTAGAGTTTTCTTCATGGTCATTGGGTGGCGGTTCCGCAGATAGTGTAGAATAGAATCATCTGGGGTACGGTGTAATTTGAATTAGCATGATGTTGAGACAGCGTATCTCGAGAAATCCGCGCGCCTTAGGGCGAGCTTGAAATTTGAGAGTAAGCTCTCCTTCCCAATCTCCCACTCCGCGGCATTAAAATTCCCCCAGAGGTCATAAGCCTGATACTGGAACAGAAAGTCTCTCAGCCTCAGCATCCAATTATTCTTGGGGGAAGAAAGAGGGGAGTTTGATAGTACATATAGTCTTCTAAGGCAAATCTTTGGTAAATAGGAGTCATCTGACTTCAGGATACTAATGAACCAATTTAATAGCAAGGCCATAGCTCTGTGCTGTAGAGGGATCAGGTCGAATTCAAGGCGAAGAGCCCAGCCCGGAGTTGCTCGAGGCAGCGAAAATAGGCTCTTGAAAAAGTAGGTTTGGACATATTCTATGTTCTCGCGCACTGGGAGCCCCCACGCAGGGAAGGCATACAGTGTAGTCGAGAGAATTACACTATTAAACAGAGCCATCGCTGAATTCCAAGAACTTGTGCCAGACCTGCGTAGGATCGACAGCACAGAGTTAGAGGGAATTTTGGATTTACCAATTATAGAGATAAGCGCACAGTTGGATTTTGCAGAAGTGTTAATTATGACTCCAAGGTAAACAAAAGATTTAACAAATTCTAGTGATTGGCCCTATAGTCTGAAGGACATATCTCTAAGGCCCCTTGGGTTCCCTCTTTCTTTGAAGATCATTATTTTGGTTTTGCTCACATTAATCTCAAGGTTCTTAGACCTGCAATAGTTTTCTAACTCGCTGCGGAGCCTCGCAATGAGCAGGCGATTTCTGGCAAGGAGAACAGTATCATCAGCAAAGAGAACAAGAAGGAGATCCCGGAGGCCATCAATGTTCGGTCCTTCGAAGCCCTGAGCTCTTAATGATTTTTCGAAATCAGAGATGTAAAGGACGAACAGCAGCGCACTCAGTGACTCCCCCTGCAGCACACCCTCAGACACCTCGAATTCATTCGAGAAGGAGCTGCCGCACCGTACCTGGACGCGCGCTTGATCGTAGAGCGATTTAATAATACATACAACTTTTGTACTAACACCTAGGCTAAGAAGCATAGACCATAGTTTCTGATGTGGAATAGAATCAAACGCACGCTTGAAGTCAACAAAGATAGCGTAGACTTCGGTCTTTGAGAGACGGAACTGCTGCTGAATTGTAGTTACAAGAGCAAAAATAGCATCAGTACAACTTCTTTTCGCGCGAAAACCAAATTGAGACTCAGGGAGAATTTTATTTTTTTCAGCCCATGCTTCGAGCCTGGTTTTGATAATTGAGGTAAAAATTTTGGTAATATTGTTGACTAGAGCTATACCACGGTAGTTCGAAGGATCATTTGGGTCACCCTTCTTGAATAGCATTGATAGGGTTACCCTAGCCCAGTCACTAGGGCATTGGCCAGAGTCAAATATAGTTGAGCAAAGATAGTTGAGCCAATTTCCTGGGAGTACTTTGAAAAATTCATTTGCAATTAAATCAGGACCAGAGGCTTTACCACTTCGCGTTGACTTTATCGCCCTAGTGACCTCGGCTAAAGTAATTTCAGTATCAAGCTCTTCTACGATAACAGTTATAGAATCTAGGGCAGTTTGAACACGAGGCTTATACACATTTTTATAAAAATCATTCCACACACTAACATCAAGAGAATTTGCAGGAGACAAATGAGGGCTATACCATTTGACCGCAAGCCAGAAAGGCTTGGAGTAATGAGCATTTTCAAAATCCAATTGCATTCTATTTGAATATTTCTTCTTTCTCAGATCCTTGTACTTTCTATAAACACTTTTAGCATCACAGTAAACGAGTCTGCTTTCATCACAGAAATTATTTCTGAAACATTCATCCACACTCTTAACAAACTCATTTCTCAATTCCCCACATCTCTTGTCGAACCATGGTTTGTTTGTGTGCTGCTTCTTTCGGCCCTGCGCGGGTAGAGACCTAATTGAGCCAAAACCAGCGGAGGTGGAGGCATTATAAACTGCGTTGATGAAGTTCCGGTGGATCGAAACAACCGAATCAGCCACAAAGTCAACCTGGAGATTAACAGAAGTTAGCATATGGCTACGGACACTCTCTATCATTGAAAGGTCATCAGGAATCCATTTCAAAGTGAAAGCACCAGTGTTTTTGCCTGTGACGTTATCTGATTGTGGAGCTACACTATTTCAAAGAGTTAAGACTATGGGAAAGTGTTCTGATCCGGTCGCACAGTGATCCACCCGAAAATCACCCACCAAAGCAGGACCTAGCGCCTTAACCCAGACCAAATCAACAATACTTTTCCCCATATGATTTGCAAACGTAATATTAGCCGGCCTATCACCAACAAATCTGCCATTGATCAGCGCAAAACCATTAGACATCATGAATTTCGCTATAATATCGCCTCTATCATTAGAACCATGGTCACTCAACTCGCAGTATGGATCTAGAACTGTATCATCAAAAACATCATCAGGGATATAATTAAGTAACGCATTCCCTAGCCTTGCATTAAAATCACCTCCTATAAACAGAAAATCAGTATTAAATAACAAATCACACTCATCAAGCACTTCCTGTAACTCTCTTAGAACAACTGCAATATCTAAATTTGTAGGGCGAAAATATACACTCCCAATAATAATTGTTTTCCGCTTAGCTATTACCTTATTAAAAGTCCAAAAATTACTTTTGAAAATATAATCGCACGATAGTGTCTTCTTCACAAGTGTTAGCAGACCTCCACTGGCTCTTCCTTCACTCACTTCTCGGGTTGCATCGCTCCACTCCTCGTTGTAGTTTCGTAGGTAGCAGGGGAGTTGTTTCGTAGGTAGCAATGGATTCACGACCACGAAGATCTTGATGCCTACGACATTATCTGCCTCTCTGAAACGATCCTGGAGAACCCAAAACCTGAGATATTATCCCTATTCATATCCTTCTCTTACCCCAAAGTGTAAACATTGATAGCTTATATATAAGCAGCACAATTGCAAGACACCTCCACAGTGTGCGCAAAAATTCTGCACGAGACGTGTGCTCCTTTCGGTGTGAAAAAAATCAAAGGGGAATAAAGAAAATGCGAACCCGCAAGGATTATGGGATCATACAATCCCAAAATTATCTTGACTGGCAGGGGGTAAAACAACCCTTCTAGAACCAGCTGCAGATTCGGTGCCCAATCAGGTGGATCTTCGATCATCAAGCGCAGCTGATTGGGAAAATCCTGAGGTGCATCGTGGTGCTCCATTGGAATGAGCATAGGGTTGAAATTTATTTCACCGCCCGCAATACTCAAGTGAAACTCATCAAGCAGAAGGAATTCGACTACTGGTGTGAGATTGTGAATGAACAACCCCCATCCCCCAACAGGATTGTACCGAGGAGGGAGGAGGGTCATACCAATCTGGAGAGAAGGGAATTGTGGTGGAGGATGATCGGATAGTGTTTTGATAATAATATTACAATTTTGGCAGAAAAGATTAAGGGAGTGTATTTCTATGAAATGAGAGAAGTGAAGGTTGAACTCAATCCTGTTGCTGCGAATGGGGGTGTGCTAGGGGGTGGTGATGAAATGGTGGTTAAAAAAGAAGAGGAGGAGGTCCAAGAGCAGAAGGGTCAGGGTGGTGAGGTGATTGAAGGTGGTGTGCAAGGTGATGAGATGGAGACTGGAGAAGGAGCGGCACAAGCGGCGGCTTTGATGGAGGATCAGGGGGAGGATAAGATTCACACGTTAGCTGTAGCGGAACAGGCGGAGCAGCGAGAGAAGGGAGAGGATGGAGGTCATCACTTGGATGTTGTGGAGCAGGTGGAAAAGTTTGGAGATGATGCGGACTCGGAGATCCATCGTGTGATTTATCGAGGTGAATATCACTCAGTTATTTCATTCTAGAAACGAACTACCCTAGTAGCACATTGGTAGCGACTTAGTTTACAAACCACCACTTCCTGGGTTCAAAACTCCATTCAGGAGTATTTTTTTTTTCAATTGATTCATTTTCGTTGATTTTTATTTCAATTAAATTAATACTTTTTCATCATTACAGAAATACATGAGGTTACTATCAAATTTAATCCGAATACGGGGGAGGAGAGGGTGGAACTTACGAGGCTGAGAGAGTGGACCATAAATGACAGAGATTGATTCAAGATAATCCATTGAAATCCTTTAAAAATTGTTAGATAGTTTTTTCATTTTTTAGCAAAATTATGGAAAAAAAATGACTCTTCGGATTTCAAAAAGAAAAAACCTCATAATTTTCATTAATTTGGTTTATATAACGAGCTTAATTTGGTTTATTGTATGAATATACAATAATTCGATATATTTTTGTAACCAAGTTGTAAAACCGGGTGAGTGCATTTTCTATATCTTCATAAAACTTTCATCTCAATAAACAATGATTTTAGGAGAAAAATGTCAGATAGAATTTTTTGTTGAAAAATTAATCAGCTACAAAATAGTCTTGTGACTTTATCTCCTAAATTCACTCCCTACTGAGATAATCCAAGTTTTATACAGACAAGAAAAACACACTTGTTACTGTACATTCAAATTTTTTTCTTTTGGTTGAAAATTCAGTTGAATTCTGGAATATTGAATGAAATTTTCATTTGTTTTTTTTTCAAGTTCATATTATTATAAAAAGCACTGAATATGCTTGGAAATTTAGTGAACAATCGTATTCCATTGGTTTTTTGTTGCTAAAAATTCTCTTCCTCTGTTTTAGCTCTTGAGATGGGTAGGAAAACTGGAGCGGATTTTTTGTCACCCTTAATCATAAAGTTCTCCAAAAGAGTTAAAAAAAAAAAATCTGAAAAAGTTTTTAAAAAATGTTAAAAATGTCATGAAATTTTTTTCTAGAAAATGTAAACAAAACTTATGAACTATCTTACTTTAACTGTCTTACTTTGACTTTTATCTAACTTTTTATAAAATGTAAAATTTGTACTTAATATACATATCAGGAAAATGCGAAAATTTTATGTATATTATTGTAATAATTCCCTCATTTCAATCATGAAATCCATCGACTGATAATTATCACCATCGGTAATGTCATCTCGATCGATAATCATGAGCGATGATGGTAAAAACGGTCTAGATCGATGATGGTAAAAACGGTCTCGGTCATATTAGCAAGGGAAATCAATCTGATTTAACAGCTTAAATCTCAACCGCTATAACTGTTGAGTCTAATGGCTCAGCGGTAGAGCGCTCGGCTCAGAGCCGCGAGGATCCGAGTTCAAGTCTCCTGACTCTGATTTTTTTTTTTCATTTTCAGCTCAAAATCACTATAATTAATTAATTAATTTCATGATTATATATTTTTTCATAAAATTGAAGAAATTGGGAAACTATTAAGGGTTGGGTGTAAATATTTATCATCTCAAAATCATCATGCCAAATTCCTTGGACAATAATTATTGAATCATAGGCAAACCAAATTTCCAGCCTACCAAAATCAGGCGCGGATGTTGTAAATTAGGTTTGCATATAATTTAATAATTATTTTTCTTTTAATTAGTCACAACGATTTTTACGGTTACGGACTATTACAACCAGCTTCTAAGGCAAACCAATTTCTTAGGAAATTAATTTTTCCCTTAATTAAAAATAGAAAATCAATGTCAATAAAATATGAATGCTGATATATAAATAACGATTCGTATGGAAAGTTAATCTGATTGAAGAGCTTAAATCTGAACTAGCTGAACCATCGGGTCTGATAGCTCGGTGGTAGAGCACGTGACTCAGAACCGCGAGGACCCGAGTTCAAATCTTCTTACTTTCATTTTTTTTTTTCAATTTCAACCCAAAATCATTATAATTGATGAATTAATTTTATGAGTATATATTTTTTCATTGAATCGAAGGAATTGAGAAATTATTCAAATAAAATAATTTCACCGGGGGAGAGAAATTTTTTCCTTATTCACTCATCAGTTANAGACGTTATTATTAAGGTAATAAACATTAAAATAGTTAGAATATAGTAAAAAGTGCAACATAAAATAATATTGCATCATTTCATGATTTCCCCCGAAGTGGTTTTGTATATCCTGTGACGTATTTCTTACCTCTGCGGAAGATAATAGATACGCAGCCCTCAGCGACCCAAACGACAAACCAAAGGTTGGGCGCCAGAACGTATGAAACGTTCACCAAAATCGAAGACGAAAAAAACAAACAACGATGAGAGAGCGATCGCCGACAGCTCAGATCAACCGCGGAGGCGGCTGGGTTCCACAAAATCTGCTCTCAATAAAATTACCCTGAAATCACTGGGATCCTTATTACTAATAAATGATAAGGAAAATTCAGACTTTCGGGGAAAAATATTATTTAATCAATTCCTAGAAAATTCCAGTATTAAAATGTGAATCAGTTATCTAATTAATCAAACCCCGGTATTTTCGAAATATTTCTCTTTCCGTTATGCTCTAAATCACAATCAGAAAATCACAAATTTCATACACCGATCTAAAGACTCGATATAAAATCAATTCCCTCAACGTCATCCGTCCATTACTAAAATGTTAGTCAAAGATAATGTAAAGAAAGTCAATAAATGGGAAAATCTATCAAGAAGTCAAAAAAAAAATAAAGTAACTAACCGGGTTACTGCAAGGTCTAATGTCACGACAAAGGAATCGATAAGAAGAACAACGAAAACTGTTGCGAGAAAAATAATTCAAAATTATAGTCTGATTCTCAAACGACGCGATCCGGATTACCACGAGAAAGACTAATAACAATTACCAGAGCCGGTGAATCTGCCTAACGCAAGGTCACGGCTACCCGATACAACAACACGAAAATCAAGCATCGACAAAGACGCTGTGATTCCAAATCACGTCGATAATTCCTACACTGTTCGGTAATGCCAAAATTCTAAATTAAATAAATAAAGTAATATACGAACAGCGATAATGCGAAAATTCCCTGAAGCTGACAAATTGCCCCGAGAATTCCACTTTGGATCTCTGAATTTGTTCCAAAGTGAATGCGAAACGAGAGTTGCTACTTACGACAAATGTTTGAAACACTGAATTTCAATCGGAAGAATCCGACATAAATATTTAAAAAAAAAACTGGTAAATTGATACAACAAGAGGTTCACTGAATTTTTCCTNTTCGCCATGGACGAAAACCGTTTGTCCAAAAGAAAGCTAATTTCACGAGATCCCGATCTCTATTACAATCAATAAATTAACGATTAATTAGATCCACCGCTCACCAGAACTGAAGAAATCTCAGCAACAAATTCTCCGGAAAAGTTGGGACTCTCAATAAATCGTCAAAGCAAGATGTCGGAGACAACGAGAATTCGGGCGTCGGAACATGGTAATAATTTTTATAATTCACGAAAAACTTGCGAACTGTCAGTCTCGCCATCCAAACGAGAAGTAATCTCCTCGGCACGCTCGATGGCACATTTCCTCGATTGCCGAAAATCCAGCCCTCTCATTGGCTGTTACTTTCACCGAAGAGACTTTTGATTGGAGAGTGATGACGACGTCAACTCTCTCTCCACCGTAATCCACACCGGACAACCACGTGATTTCTAATTTTTCCTCCAAACCCACAGGGATAAAACAAAGCGATAAAAATGTAGTTCCAACTACTCACAAATCACATAATGATAAATAACCCTTAATTTATGTTTCGGGTCCTTCAACAATGGACCAAAAATATGATTTTCGCCTAGATTCATTCGGTGCTTGAGCTCTCCAATTCTGGCTCCAGTAGCTGACGCCGCGACACGGCCAACCTGCGTACTCCTCAACCGGCGGGGATATTCAAACTCCAGATCCACCCCAGACTCTGCAGAACCGTTGCTCCGAGACCCAATTCCAGCATCTAAATTCTTGCATCTCATCCCAGTCCTCGTTTAGGCTCATCCAGATCCCCCGATGTGCTCCGATGAACGGTGGAGTGAAATGATTCAATACAAACCAAAAGATACTCAATAAATAGTTGAACAAAATCTAGATTTTGACTCTCGCTTCGCTTTCGCAGTGACTTCTCGTCTGGATGTTTAAATGAAACCCCAGAACGGTCGAAAGACAAAAATAACACGTTACAACTTGCCCTCTCCCAGACCGGAAGCGGTGGAATGTTTTCGAAACTTGACAAAACCAATCATCCGAATTCCAGACGAGACTCACCTCCCGCTCAACAGGGTCACAAATAAAATCACTCCAATAATATCGATATTTCAATTAAAACCCAATCAAAAATCAGTGTCACTAACTACCAAAAAACAGACACACAAACACAATTTAAGTTATGACCATATATTTTAGAAGGGTTCGCCAAAGAAAATACAAAATTACCCAATCATAACCAAAATAAATTCAAATCCGAGGTTCGATATCCAAAATCATTCATCTTCCTCGTCCGACACATGAACATCGGCATCCGAATTGTCACGTGCCGCTAAGAGATCCTTTACGTGATGACGACCCACCACGACACCCTGATCATTCGAGACTTCATAAACTAAAGGTGACACAACGCGCGACACACGATAAACCTCGGTCGAATACCTTCGAAAGAGTTTCGCCGCTTGGCCCTTCGCCGCGTTCGATAACTGACGAATCTTGCGTCTGACCCTATCACCAACCTTGAATTGAATATCTCGATGATGTGTGTTATAGTATTTCGCTTGATGTTCAAACGCCTTATTCAAATTCTCGACAATCAAATCGTATAATTCCGCCATACGATTCATTCTCTTCGCCCACCGCTTAGTATCCGGCACGACAACCGGTTCGTCTCCTTCCGCTAGTTTACGAAAGAACAACGACGGCCTAGGCTGTCTCCCGAAATTCAAGAAAGCCGGCGATAAATGTAATGAACTGTGACACGCGGTATTATACGCGAACCGAAACTCCGGCAAATGCTCATCCCACTCCCGGTGATCCTGACCAACGAAACAAATTATCATGCTCTTCAACACGCGATTGACCCTCTCAACGGGATTAGCCTGAGCATGATACGGTGGAGTTAACAGATGCTGAATGCCCAACGACACGGAAAGTTCCCGCATCCGTTTATTCGCGAATTCAGTCCTATTATCCGTCAAACAAATTTCTGGAGTACCATATCGATGTACCACCAGATCTTTGAAAGCTTTCAAAATCGTTGGTCCATCAGCCTTTCTGATGGCCTGAATTTCAATCATCTTCGTAAAAATGTCTTGACAGACTAACAGATACTTCAACCCACCTTTGGATGGCGGGAATGGACCCATAATATCCGCTGTGACAAAAACCCAAGGCTCCTGAATGCAACGCTGACCCATTAAAACTGCAGGCTTCTGCTGAGAAACCTTTGAGGTTTGACAAACCGCACATCCGCTAACAAAATTTTCGATATCTTCACTCATCCCAGGCCAATAAAACGACAATTTAACCCGAGCAGTCGTTTTTTCAATACTCAAATGACCTGCAGTAGGAGGCTCATGATTCGCAGCAATAATCCCATGTCGATACCCACGCGGCGGTACTAATTTCCACGCATCTAAATCTTCGGCAACAGTCGAGACTAACGGATTCGGCTTCAAACGATAAAGTCGTTCATCCTCAACCCTCCAACCTGGCCATTTATCCGGACGCTTTTCTACTTCAACTTTACGACGAATATACCAATCGTCGCTAATTTCCGCCGGCGATAAAAGACGCTTCCCCTGTACTTCTACTTCAGCATCCAAAACATTGATCTCCGGAATATCACAATCAATCAGATCGTCCTCGTACATG